AAGCACCTTAGGATTGATCATAAGTGATGTGCAGACTATACCCTGGTTCCCATGCTAGGAGCCTGGCAAGGTCTGACTTGCACTGTGGTCATACCCTGCTCCTTTTTCTCCCCAATGTGTTGAGCAATTTCAGCAGGCGACAAGGATTCACATAACAAGTTGTGTATGTGAAAGTACCCTTTTGTGCCCTGTGTCTTTGCCCTGCCACCAGTGAAAGGTAGAACTGAAGCTCCCATTCGTCACTGGCTGGACACTGAGCTTGCTTGACATTTCAGCCCTTTTGAGCATCTCTTCTTCCACTGAAACAGTGCACATAGATTTTTCTGGGGTTTGCCTCCAGTTTTTCCTTTTGTGCAACCTGGGGTTTTCTGATGCTGTAGCAAGCAAGCATACACTGAGGGGGAGATTGCACCAGTGGAAGCTCCCACCAAGCAGAACCACTGAGATTCCAAGTCCATCAGGATGCCAAAGGGTGGACTTGGGCAAATTCAGTCTCAGATGTGTGAGAAACGTGCTCTTCTCTGTCTTTCGGAGCCCCTCTTGTGATAGATTGATACAGGCATGCAGAGGCAATCAGTAAACTGCCTGCCCTTACTCCGTGAATACGAACTGCTCAGGACATTCATTCCAGTAACTGTTAGCAGGACAATGGAGCAGTGCTGAGAAACCAAGAGCATCCCTCAGCCATATGGGATCTGCCTAAGCTGTTGACCTTGTAAGTCAGCTCTACCAGGGGGCTGAACTCACTGAGGAGAGACACTGTGTGGTAGAGAGTGTCCTTACCAGCCAAGAGGCAAGACTGCCCTGGAGACAGGGGTTCCAGCACATTGAGAAGGTGTGACCAAGGGCCAAGATTTTTTTTTTTTTCTGCTTTGAGACCAATTCAGAAAGGATTTGCATGCAGTTTGTTTTTTTTTTTTCTTATTTCCTTCTACACATCTCTCTGCTGCGATGTCTGAATAAGATCCAATTGGTTTACGAATTTCTTTGTTCTGCCTGGCTGTTCACTGTCATTCCCAATGGGAAAACTGGTCATACAGAAGATATTCAGTGAAGCATGGGAAGGAATGAAATGAAATCTGGCAGGAAGGCCTGGGGAAGCTGCCGCTAATGCCTGAGATGTAGAGAGAGGGTCAGCATACCTTGAGACTCCCAAGTGTGCCTGAATTCCAGGTGTAGTTTTCTGATGGATTTCTTCCCACCAGAAAGTGGGGAATCCTTCACTATTCCTGCCCTGCTCTTTTAACACTGGAGTCTTGTTGCTTGGTACCTCCTAATCCTGTAGATAGGTATTTGTTCACTGAATTTTCTCGCATAAGCTGGGAATCCGAGTCCTTCTGTGATCTTTAATGTACCTGTGTGTTTTAATAACAAATTACTGTTGATTTTATACAATATCCCTGTTAAAGAACTTCAAAGTCTTTGGTGTTTCCCCCCATCCTCCAGACTTTATACTTTTTGCTGCTGCTGTTTTTGACACTCCCATGTGATTCAGCCTTGGAAAAATAAATATTTGTATAGCTGTTCCCCTGCTGTGCCTGCTCAGTGCATTTGCTTAATGATGACTTCAGTTCAGCTTTGCAAGGGTTTTAGGGCAATGGATTCTCCCAGAAAAACAGGAGACTCATTTGCAGACAACCTTACTCATGTTCTTTCCTCCCTATTGCCCTCTCCCACACTCCTTTTCCTCAGATCAGAGTCTGATTAAATAAAAGTGTATGCAAAAGGCTCTTTCTTTGCCATGATAACACATGGCTTTTCATAGCCTTTGTTTCAGCATTATCAGTTGCCAAGATCAGTTCTGGTGATGAGTCAAAGTTTTGCCTGGTTACTTCTCCACTCCTTTTATCTGGACTTGAAACAGTGAGTAGAAGGTTGAACCCAAGTAAGTACCTGCTGCCCTTCCTTGTCATTAGTTGAATTTTCTTGAATCTCCAATTTTCTTCTTTTCATATAAAACATCAGATCACATTCTGGCTTATAACATTTGCTCTAGAGCCAAGCCCAAGCCACTGTTTCAAAACCTGCATGTGTTCATATTTGAAGGATTTATGTTATTTTCTCTCTACTTCAACTTTCTTGAGTCAAATCAGACATTTTTCTTTTTACTCAAGACATCAAGTCGGTCTATGATATCAGATTTTTTCAAAATGAGGACAAAGTTAACCTTCAAAATCTACATTTATGCATCTAAATGAAGGCTCAGCATTTTTTTTTATTCCTGGAAATGTAGTAATACCTGGCAAAGTAATGAACAGGTGATTTTATTAATGCCATTGCCATTTCAAGTAAAAAAATCCTGAAACCCCAAACCCCAGGAAATAGCATTATAAAAATTCAAACTCTGGAAAGATTCAATTTTTTTTTTCTTTTTTTGGCCATTTACAAAACCTTCTTCAAATTATTTAAACTACTTATGCTTTGCTTCTGAAATATGTCAAGTATAATTTTGCCAATAACTAGATCCACCTTCTGGGCTATTTTCTACCAGAAAGCAAAAATCACTTCAGTGAAGTAATGCATCAGACTCTCTCTTCATCTATTTCCAGCTGATGAGGTTTCAGATTACAGCAGAGATTGTTTTATATTAGGTGCTGAGTACATGACCTGGTACTTGTGCAGCTGAGTTTCATCTGACTACTATCACTACGGTCCTCAAAGTCATCTCACCGTTTTTTTTTTTGTATGATATTCAGAGCCTCCTCCATAATGACGATTCATTCCACAGTGTGTCATCATCAAATATTTTGGCATGGTCCTCCTTTACCATGCCAAGAACTGTGAGGAAAATATTATGTAAGATTTATCTCAAGAATCATGTATGAGGATTTCAACTCATAACCTTCCTCTAGCCTGACTGAAATAATGGGAAATAAAGCTGAAAAGAACCTCAAGTCCAAGCTGTATCCCAAAAACATGAACTGTACTCAGCAGATACTTGTCCAATTTGTTCTTAAACATAGTTGATGAGATTCCATAATCTTCATAGATACTCTATCAGTAGCTAAGTCTCCTAATTACTGGAGTACTTCTGTCCCTGAATCACTTCTCCAACATTTTCCTTGTTTTCACTGTGCCAAATGCAGCCATAGAATTAGCTCATTCCCCTTGTGAGTGATGCTTCTGCTCACAAACCACAATACCATATTCTGATGCATTTGTTGTCTTCTTCCTTTGAGCTGGCTCCATACACCCATATTCATCAGCTGATGCTTTTGTGCGTTAAAAGTTACACCATCAGCATTCATTTGAACATGAAGCACTCTCCATTGACTTATGAAGCAATCCCCAAAGCATGATCATCTTTCTTTATGTTTCTGAATTTTAGCTGAAGACAAAGCTTCCCTCAGTTTCAGGATCTCAGTAGTCTTTTGAAGGCTTCTTTTGCAAGAAATCAGAGAACATTCTCTCTTGTTGACCTCCTTAAGTGGTCATGTATCAAAATAACAATAATTTCCCTATCAGTCCTTATGAGCACTTCACCTATCTGTCCCATGGGCATCCAGAATATCCTCAAGGTTTCTACCATGTAATTTGGAGGAAACTATATAATCTTTACATGGCAGAATACATTCTGTATACAATTTACCACATAGCTAATTATTATGTTACCACAAAGACAACAAGTTGCATTTGCAAACTCCTATATATAATGCTAATAAGAAACCCAATTCCATCTTAAGATAATTAATGTGGAAAGCCTTTCTTTTTATAATATGAGAGAGACTTCAAAAGATTCACAATGTTAACAAACCACAGGTGTTTCCATTCTTGATATCTTCTGGTATTCTGGTAATCATTGCTCATTTCAGTATTAGTCTGATTTTCTCAGTCTAGAGAAGTTTAACATTTTGAACCATTGCATCTAATTTTTTTAAATAAGAAAGAAATCTTATTTTCCCTGGTTTTGATAAGAGAATGAGTTGATAAATATGAACATTGTGATAGCAAGAAAAGATACCAGCCTTAAGGTTCAATAGAAGGACCCTGTTTAGTTCAAAGAATTCACCATGGGCACAGTGACTGAACAGTAACCTATGTTAAGGGTCCTGTATGTTTAACTGGCAATGTAAAAGTCTTAAAGCAGGAGATATTAAGGCCTTTTTTGCAATGGATCCAAGTTGGATCTACTAAGAGCTTTTTTTTTCCTTTTTCTTTTTTTTTTTTTTTGGTGGTGGTCTCTAGCTTGTGCTGAACCCAGATTGACTCAGTCTAATGGTTATGAGGTTGATCAACAGAGTCTGATAACCAAAATGAAATCAGAATCCATTTTTCTGTCTAGGTGGTAGGAACAAGCTCTGAGACTTCAGTCAATCTGAAGACGAACTCTCCTTTAGTCTCCAGGTGTTATGCCTTCAAAGAAGAGCTAAAACTCATTTATGGGAATACCTGGCATCCTTCTCTCCACCCCTCAAATGAATAGTCATAAAGCTGTAGGGTTCTTAAAGCCAGATCTTAAGTAATAGCACAAAATACTGCCTTTTATACTGTGCTGCTAATGCTGTAAAATAGTGCAGTATATTCTTCCACCCAGAGAGCAACACCCAGTTAACATTTAAGTTAGTGAAGTGGAAATTTGTGCGACCTAATTTAAGAACCAGTCAAATGTCTTAGGTGAGAGAGTTTCACTAAAACATAAATGGCACTGCACAGTCCAGCTTAACTTTTGAGAATGGAGGGTCTGGAAGGTTCACTTTCAACTCATGCACACAACACTGACTTCGTTATCCAAAAGGGGAGGAGAAAACCTGATGTTACTAGTGAACTGAGATTAATTTTGTGAAAGTCTGCAAGGCATTATTTATAGTCTGTGTGCCAGAACTGTGTTTCCATTAATAGCCTCTCCAAACCATGCTCGAAAAATAGTGCAGTCTCAAATAGTGTAAATGAGATTTGGCAATGTGAATTTAGCAGTTTTCTCTTTTAACAGACTCCTTCTCAACATCTCCCTTATTCCACTCATGAACTCCCTTCATGTCTTTGTGTTCTTCCTCCTGCAGTCCAGTACATCGTTCAACAGAGATGCTGTGAAAGCAGGGACAGGCCGGCGCTTTCTTGGGGGGCTGTTAAATGATACATCCTACTGCTACACTCTGGAAGTCTCGTTCTACAGCTACATATTGGGTGGACCTAATTCTGCTGTCCCCTACACAGAAGAAGCGTGTATCCTTTTGAAATCCTTCCTTCCCTTGCAGCACACGTGAACTGGGCACTTAAGGTAAATACTTCTATCTCAATAAGTGTTCGCTGAGATAGGAACACACAAGTGGAAATGTGAGTCTGCTCCTGATGCTTTAATTTCCCTCATATTGATTCTCCATACTGTGGAAATTCAAGAAGAGAAAGGCATATTAGATCAAATAAGCCATTTGCCTCTTGTAGGAGATTGTCTCACACCCTTAATATAGAAACTAGTCCTGGAGAGCCTGTGATCCATTCCCTTCCATAGTCTTCCATTTCTTTCTTCGTTTCTCTCCGTATTCTCTCATTATCCCTGTGTTTGTACTATTGTTTTAATAGCAAGTTGAAAGTGCATCTTTGGTACTGAGTTAAAATATCTTCTCCGCCTTTGAACTGCAGCCAAAAGGCTCTTATAGGATCCATGAGGTTCTGCAGCTGCCTCAGAGCCAGGTCTTTGATACCGGTTGACAAAGAAGTGGAAAGCGAGTTCCACAAACAAAACCGACAGAGTTGTTTGCATTTTTGAGCGCTCAAATAGAAGCAGTGTCTCATTCCTCAAAAAACACACATCCATCTGGCTGTCTCAATGTATCAACAATTTGTAGAATTGTTCTGACTGGTCTTATGATCTGTTTTTATGTTTTTCTTTTTCTTTTTGTCACCATGCTCAATCAAATAACCAGTGCCCATACTTCAAGCTTGGGTGCATTGTTTCATTTCGTCATTCTATCTTGGTACCTTTTGAAATTTCCACTGGTTTAGAAACACTGCAGAGGGAGCAAGATCAGATGTGATTGCCTATTTACCCCTCCACTGCATTTTGGAAGTTGCGGAAGGTTTACTGCTTTAGTATAGCGAGGGGAAAATTTTCATATGAGACATAATTCTTCACCACCCATACATGTGTGCACACTGTGTGGGAATGAGGGTGAGAAACAGAGAGCAGAGAAAGTAATTCTTAATCATTTGGGGCTTTGTGGTTCGGCTTCTCCACTGAAAGTGAAATCTGGGGGAAGGAGGGAGATAAATATATTAAGGTGACTTATCAGACTCGAGTGTTTGGAATACAATCTCTTTTTTGCCTGGTGAGGCTAACTTTCCAAGGAATAGCTTCTTGCAACATACGAATACGTAGTGTATCTTGCCACTGAGGAAAAAAAATGTCATTACTGTTAGATTTAAGTATTTATTTGCTTATATTGGTGTTTTGGCATTTTAAGAACACGTACCTTAGTTTCACCTTTAATTTTCCTCCTCACCTAGTACTCATTGTACTGAAAACTGCTTATTTATCTTTGTTATTTATCAAGAACAGTTTTTGTAGTGAGAAGTGGGAAGAGTCCCTATACAAATGAGATCATGATTTCCTTGAATATGTTTTTCTTCAGGACTTGTAGGTCATGCTGGCTTAGTTTCCTTTTCCATAAAGATTTTTGTTTTGTGCTTCACATTACAGAGGCTTCAGATGTGGGGGTCTAACGTCTCTGTCTATTTGCTGGGCTTGTCTTCTGCAGGCAGAGCTGCATCACTGTGACCCTCATAGCTAGAGCACAGAAAGCAGGTCCTCGATCACAGAGATCCTTCTTGGTGATGACGCATGGAAAGCTCAAGCAGCAACTTGATTTCTGCAGTTAGAGTTTCACCTAGCTGAGTGAAAAAGGAGGAGAAGCTGGTTTTGACTGGTCTGGCAGACAGCAAGCAGGGAAGGCTCTTTGCCCACGTAGCACACTTCACTGGCATTTTGCCCTGGTAGGTTTTATTATTTCCTTTTCAATGGAGGGATTCTGTCAAGAGTGCTGCTTATAACAGCTCTTCCTCATGTGTGCAGTTTCCTAGTAGAGAAAGAAATGGAGCTGCTTGAAGCAGTCTGTAGGCTGGTCTGCTCTCACACAGGAGTGACTGGATTTATGCGCATCCCGTCCTGGCGGGGGAGAAGTTTCATGTCACCGAAGTGCCTGGGACTAAAAGTAAAACAATTGCAGAACATTCCAATTTAGCCTGAACAGCTCTTCCAAGCTATTTGCAAGTCAGTGATTAATTAATGCTCAGATTTTTTAATGGACCTGAACCAAAGACACAGACAGTCAGTTCCTATTGGCCTCCAAGGACAGGCGTGCTTCTATTAACTGTCTAGCTACATGCAGGCAGCAAGTCAAGCAAATAAATGAAGAAAATACAGTGAGCCCAAAACCCGTGAACTAACAGGGCAAGTATTCAGGAAATCTGCCTTCAAAGATGTATTTCTTAGGACTTTGCTCATGCCATTGTGATGTTATTGGGTTGTGGGTTTTTTTGTTTTGTTTTTTTAATCAAAACAGGGTCAGAGAGGCTGGAATTGTTCAAAGCTTCTACTGTTGGATTAAGAACTACAGACTGAGACTCAGTCTCAAATTCAGGGAACTCATGGCCTTGAACAGAAACTACAATGCAGATCACACCCCACACTCAGAAATGAGCCGTACTGGCTCCATGTAAATATCAAAACAAATGAGTATCTCCAGGTTCTACAAAAATATTAGTTTAGCCTAATGTTGTTCCTGTTGACAGGTGAGAAAATGGAACAAGCTCTGAATAGTTTGCATTGGTGGTATGTAATTCTGCCTGTCAACATCTTTACAGCATTCATGGCAAATAAGATCATAGTACTAGTCCCTTTTATGCCGTTATGTAAGCAGGCTAGGTTTGTTGATTTTCTCTTTTGCATCTCTTCATGTTCCTCAGGACTTACGTGCTAACTCTTGACCTATACCTATGTGAGCCTGTGGTAGATATATTTCTACATTGGGAAAGAGTATGCTTTTTGTTCAGACTTGTGTGACTGAAAAATATTTTGTAGTTATCAAGAAAAACGGATATCTTGCATGCATGAAAATGGGAGACAGACTTTCAGTCTGATAAGTATTATTTGAATTCTGACATTGTTAGTGTGCACAGTAACTTTTCTCAACAAGAAAAGTAAGAAAATTTTTAAAAAGCAAGGGAGGCTATCATTAAAAGTGAAAATATGTTACAAATTACTCCAGTTAGTATGACTGAATGTATTTCCCAAAATGAAATACCTCAAAGACTCAGAATTTAGAGGATTATGCCTGGTATGTTCTATAAAACAAATTTGCCCCTGAGGCTACACTATTTAAATGAAGCCCAGGAGTGAAGGATGTTCCATCAGTCTGTGCAAGGGGTATATGTTTGGGACATACACGGTGGCATAACAGCATCCTGTGGACTGTTGAATTTCTGGTCTCTTCTAACAGAGAGTTAACATGGCTGCATGAATGTCTCAGGTCTCAATTAGCATTACGTCAGTAATGGTTACTGCTGAAGTGTCTCTTGTATTTTCATCCTACAAATAAAGCACTGCATCAGGTGTAGCTTCCTGAACGTCCTGTTATACATTCCTTCAGAGGTGAGTGCCTGGTAGGTCTGTGTCTAACTGATATGTACCTGGTGTACGAGAAACATTAGGGATATGTTCCATAAGCCTGGCTCTGCAGAATACCCTACGATAACGTGTGCTGTAGATAACAGTGAACGGACTCTGTTTCGAAGGCATAATAAGAGGATTGTAGGCGTGTCGGTTAGTTGCCTGGAAGTGGACACAGAAATGTTTAAAACCCTTCTCACATGCACACACATTTGGTGGTTACTGATTAAAAAGGCAGCTCAGCACCAGGTAAAGAAGCTTTAAAATGAGCTGATACGCTTCCATTAAATACCATGTTTTACTAGGCATTTACAGGGCTTACGACACAAGGCGTGTAAACTGCTCTGTAACATTCACCCCCAGCAGCTCAACTGCTGAGCTATCTAGATACACACCAGCCTCATAGCTGGGCAGGGAACAAAGGATAAAAGAGGGGGAGGAAGGATGAATCCCCAGCTGTAGGACTCTGAGCGCTGCTCTGATAGCACACCCGGAATTGCTTTCCACTACAGCTGCTCATCAGCAGCTGTCACAGCCTGACCTGAGAGTAGCCAGTAAAGGAGTCTCACATCAACAGTTTTAAAATCTATTTGGTTCATTTTTTAGAGTGTTTGAACTGGATCCCTGCTGCACAGCAGGCAGCCCATAAGAAAGCATAAAAGGTTTTACTCTTCCAAAGACTAGCCAAGACTAGGCAAGAACTGGTATGATTGTAGTCTGGTAGCTGTAGGGGAGAATAATCATCAGGATGGATGGGCACCACAATTGTCAGTGTGTCCATGGCTTTTTTGTGTGTTTTAATCTTAACTTTAAGCTTCCTCTTGGTTGGGAATGCCCTCATTCAACGATGGGCATTTAGTCATCTATATGTATGGCTTTGCTCAGCTGAAATCACTTCCGAGTGGAACTGGCGACTGGAACCCTGGACTGAGGGCCTGGTGGAACGGGTCTTCTTTTGTGTGGCTTTTCTAAGCACATCACTTCACCTCTTTGATTTAAAGTCCTCAGTATAAAGAATGAATTTAATTAAACTTCTTTTGGAAAAAAAGAAAAAGAACAAATAAAAAAAATATAAAAAATAAACATTTTTGGAAGCCATGGGTGAAGAACACAGAAGAGACATTACTAATATTACCACAAGGTAAGTCTTTTCACATTACAAACAGCTGAGAAATCATCTCAATATTTTAAAACAGCATAGCTGAACCAGCTTGCAAAGGTATCACTTGCTATTTTCCATTTTCCTGAATGTGTTGAATTGGAAGCTTTGCATCTCTTAAACAGAGTGTAGTTGCACTGCTGAACTCTCTCCCCTGTTTATAGACATTAAAAATGTATTTATGTGGCTACAGACACAGAACGAAAGCTTGGATTGACTAGAGTCTCTTCAGGTGCCTAACAGGAACTTGCATCTTGAACTCTTGGCACAGTTGGGACCACTGGGTTCACTCTTACTCTTAACTTCAAACAATATCAGCCTGCTGCTTGACTGGGGACTTGAGAAGTTAAATCCCCTGGAGGAAAGAGTCATTTGCTTATATCCAGATTCTTTTTAAAG